CTCTCCAAGCTGAGGCTGGTCCTTGACAAGAAACATTGCTAAAGCTTAAATCAAACACTGAATCCCACGAATTACAGTATGAGACTTCAATTCTCCCCCTTCACCAATGGACAGGTAATCCAGAAAAAAACTAAACAGAGAAATACTGAAACTGGCATTACGAATCAAATGGACCTAACAGATATATAAAGAATATTTCACCCAAACACAAAAGAATACACCCTCTTCTCAGGACCTCATAGAACCTTCTCCAAAATTGATCATATAGTTAGTCACAAAGCAAGCCTCAACAGATACAATAAAATTGGAACAATGCCTTGTATCTTATCAGACCACCATGGATTGAAGATGAATTTCAACAACAGAAACAAAAGAAAGCCACAAATTCATGGAAATTAAACAACTCTCAGTGATCTCTGGGTCAGGAAGGAATAAAGAAAGACTTTCTAGAACTCAATGAAAATGAAGGCACAACATACCCAAACCCATGGGACACAATGAAAGCAGTGTTGAGTTCATAGCACTAAGTGCCTCTTTAAAGAAACTAGAGAGTTTTCATACTAGCACATTAAAAGTACATCTTAAAGCTCTAGGGAAGAAGAAGAGGAGGAGGAGGAGGAGGGAGAGAAGGAGGAGAAGTTAAGAATAAGAGGAGGAATAAAAGGAGGAGGAGGAGGAAGAGAAGGAGGAGGAAGAGGAAGAAGAAGAGGAGAAGGAAGAAGGAGGAGAGGGAGAAGGAGGAGGAAGAGGAGGAGGAGGAGGAGAAGGAAGAGGGAGAAGAGGAGGAAGGAGGAGGAGGAGGAGGAGGAGGAGGAGAAGGAAGAGGAGGAGGAGGAGGAGGAGGAGGAGGAGGAGAAGGAGAAGGAGAAGGAGAAGGAGAAGGAGAAGGAGAAGGAGAAGGAGAAGAAGAAGAAGAAGAAGAAGAAGAAGAAGAAGAAGAAGAAGAAGAAGAAGAAGAAGAAGAAGAAGACACATCTAAGAGAAGTAGGAAGTAGACAGCAGGAAATAATGAAATTTAGGGGCAAAATCAGTTAGAAAATATCTTGGTGTAACTCTAACCAGAAGAGTGAATGACAAGTACTTCAAGTCCCTGAAGAAAGAAACTGAAGAAGATCTCAGACAATGGAAAGATTTTCTATCTCATGGATCAGTAGGATTTACACAGTGAATCCTACCATCCTATCAAAAGCAATTTACAGATTCAATGCTATTCCCATCAAAATTCCAACACAAGTCTTTACAGACCTTGAAAAAGTAATTTTCAATCTCATATGGAAAAACAAAAACCCAGGATAGCTAAAAACAAATTCTGAATAATAAAAGAACTTCTGGAGGTATCACCATCCCTGATCTCAAGCTATACTGCAGAGCAACAGTAATAAAAACTGTATGGTGTTGGTATAAGACAAAGACAAGTTGACCAATGGAATAGAATCAAAGACCCTAAAATAAACTCACACACCTTCAGATACTTGATTTTTGACAAAGAGGCCAAACCCATACAATGGAAAAAATGAAAGCATCTTCAACAAATGGTGCTGGTCTAACTGGATGTTTCCATGTAGAAGAATGCAAATAGATCTATATTTATTTCCCTGTATAAAACTCAAGTCCAAGTGGATCAAAGACTTCAACATAAAACTGGCTACATTATATCTAATAGAAGAGAAAGTGGGGAATAGCTTTGAATGAATTGGTACAGGAGACAACTTCCTTAAAAGAACACCAATGGCTCAGGCTCTAAGATCAACAATTGATAAATGGAACCTCATGAAACTGAAAAGCTTCTATAAGGCAAAGAATACTGTCAATAGAAGGAAATGCCAGACTACAGATTGGGAAAAGATCTTCACCAACCCTACATCCAATAGAGGGCTAATATCCACAATATATAAAGAACTCAAGAAATTAGACACCAGCAAACCAAATAACCCAATAAAAAAGTAAGGCACAGACCTAAACAGAATTATCAACAGAGGAATCTTTAATGGCCAAGAAGCACTTAAAGAAATGTTCAATGTCCTTAGTTATCAGGGAAATGCAAATCAAAATGACCCTGAGATTCTACCATATACCAATAAGAATGGTTAAGATCAAAAACTCAATTGATAGCACATTCTGGTGAGGATGTGGGGCAAGGGGAACATTGCCCTATTGCTGGTGGAAGTGCAAACTTATAAAACCACTTTAGAAATCACTTTGGCACTTTCTAAGAAAACCAGGAAGACCTCAAGACCCAGTTATACCTCAAAGATGCCCCACTATACCACAAGGACACTTGCTCAAGTATGCTCACAGCAGCCTTATTCATAATAGTCAGAAACTGGAAACAACCTAAATGTCCCTCAACTGAAGAATAAAGAAAATGTATTACATCTACACAATGGAATACTATTCAGCTATTAAAAACAAAAATATGAAATTTTCAAGCAAATGGATGGAACTTGAGAATATCATCCTGAGTTAAGGTACCCCAGAGCCAGAACGACATGTGATATACACTCATTTATAAGTCGACATTAGCCATAAGGTGAAGGATAACCATGCTTCAATTCACAAACCCAAAGATACTGGGTAATAAAATAGGCCCCAAGGGAGGATATGCAAATCTCACTCAGAAGGGGAAATTAAATAGCCATCAGAGGTAGATGGAAAGAGGGAACTGGGTAAGAGAGAGGGTAAAAAGGGAAACAAGCATGTTGATCAGGTGTGGCAAGAGGTAGGGGGCTGAGAAGGCTGGGAGTGAAAATGGAAATGGGGGGCCATTTCTAGTGACTAGCTGGAGGCCTGGGACAGGAGAGGATACTGGGAGTCTATGGGGGTGACCCTAACTGAAATTCCTATCAGAGGGGGATACAGAGAGTGAAATGGCCACCTCCTACAACAGGCAGAGGAGGGCAGGGGGATATCAATCTTCAACACACAAAATCTTCAACACAAAATTTGTCCTGCTTACAAGATGTGCAGAGATAAAGACGGAGGAGAGACTGAGGGAACAGCTATCCAGTGACTGCCTCACTGGTTGAGACCCATTCCATGTGAAAGAGACAACCCCCTGACACTATTAATGATATTCTGCTATGCTTGCAGACAGGAACCTAGCATAACTGTCTTCCGAGAGGCTTCATCCAGCAGTGGAGGGAAGCAGATGCAGAGACCCACAGCCAATCATCAGGCAGAAATTGGGGAGTCTTGTGGAAGAGTTGGGGATAGAAGTGAGCAAGTTGGAGGGGTCAAGGACACCTAAGACCTAGAGTCAACTAACCTGCGACCATGGAGGTTATGGTGCCCTGGCCACCAACCAGGGAGCTTTTAGGTCCTAGACCTAGGCCCCCTATACATTTGTAGCAAATGTGCAACTTGGTCTTCATGTGGGTCCCCTAACAACTGGAGCAGGGGCTGTGTTCCGTGTCACTGGATCCCCTTCCCCTACCTGGACTGCCTGGTTGGGCCTCAGTGGGAGAGGATGTGCCTAATCCTGCTGGGACTAGATGTCCCAGAGTGGAGTGGTACCCAGTGGGGTAAGGGTATGACTGGGAGGAGAGGGGGAGGGGCTGTGATTGGGATGTAAAGTGAAAAAATATTAAATGTTATAGTGCAACAAGAACCTGTCTTGTGTGAGGTGTAAGTGAATCTAGGTGGATGTATGTAGGTTGTATGAAGATAGCATGCTGCCTTATAAAAGGACTGTCAGCGGATTTTGGTTTCATGGTGGGGGCAGCAGTGTGTCCTGGAAGTCATGCCTTTGGATATCAAAAGGTAATCACATATGTAAGTACATGAGGATGCAAATGTCTATTGCTCCTGCCCCAGTACTTTTCTTAAACAAATGGACGTCCAATATATTCTCTTGGGTTTTTGGTGGAGAAGCTTCATATCCACAACATGGATACAATGCATTCCTTTTTACAGGTCTGTAATACCATAATCAAGTATGTCTAGTATTGGGTTTTTTTTATGATGTATAATCCTTGTGTTAAGATTTTATTTATTTTTATTTCAGTACATTGGTGTTTCACCTGCATGAATATCTGGATGAGGGTGTCAACTCCCCTAAAATTGGAGTAACAGACAGTAGTGAGCTGCCATGTGGGTGCTGAGAATTGAACCCAGGTCCTCTGCAAGAGGAGTTAGTGCTCTTAATCACTGAGCCATCTCTCCAGCCCTATATGTATGATACTTAATTACACATTCTTACAAAAGGGCTAGGGATAGTGGTACTCGTCCGTAGCCCCAGCTCTTGGGGAAGCTGAGGCAAGAGGGCTGCACACAGGAGTTTGAGAGCAAGCAAATGGCAAAGATAAAGGAAGCAGGAATGGACACCAAGCCCAGCACTACAAAGCCTTCCTCGCCACTTCAAGGTCTGTAGCTAAGACAAATAATTAAAGTTCTTAAACATTCAGGTACACATCACCCATGCATATCCTTACCAATATGTCTCCCCAAACTTTTTGACATCCACACTTCTATTTGTCTACTACCATTCTGGTTTCTAATATTAACTTTTCTCCCTGAATAAGTATCAAGGTGTTTTGATTACTACAGGCAATCCCATGTTTGCATCTCCTGTATGTGGAGCGTGAGTGTGTGAATGTGTGTGTGTGTGTGTGTGTGTGTGTGTGTACCTGTGCCCAAGCCTGTGGAGGCAGAGCAGGACATCTGGGTAAGGCAAATCAAAGCTACAATGAGACAATGTTACTCCAGCTGGAAAGCTATGCTCAAAACAAAAGAGAAAGTAACCTTGTTAGCAAACAGTGTCCAGTGTGCAGAGATGGGGAGGAAGAGCAGGGTCCCAGGACATTATCACCTCACATCTTGATTTTAAGCTTCTGGCCCCTTGAGCTCAGAAGATAAATCTTACTTAGTTTAGGCTACAGAATATTCAGTCATAGCAAATTCCATGTAAGCTGACAAACTTTCAGCTATAGCACAGCTGGGCCAGTTGACCTGTCACAGGATGTACCTTTCTCAGTTCCATAAGGCAAAGACTCAGAAATCCATTTTTGCAGTTTTTGTTTGTTTTTATTTATCTTAGATAGACAATTTATATAAAAGAAAACAAACCTGAGGACAAATGCTGCTGTGTTACCCACAGCTCACATGTTGGCCTCCTTACATTTGGCCTCCACGGCTTTCAACAACTTCAGAAGTGCTGCTGGGTTATATGGAAAGAGATTTTTCTCCTGCAAACGGTAAATTGCACCCTGTAGCTCCTCAAGGCACTTCACTGCACAAAGAAACAATCTCACTTCCCAGAGAGTCCTGTCTGGAGCAACTCTACCCTCAGCAGAGAAGGGAGAACTGGACTCTGCAGAGAGCAGAGGCCTAGAGCGAGGCTCCAGGCTACGTTCCTTTTGATCCTTCTGTGTCCTAGGCAGGCCTTGGATTTCCTCAGTTATCTCTTGGCATAAAGATGTCTGTTTGCTGTTTGCTAAAGACTCATTTGTGGTTTCCTCATCAGAAGTTTCAGAGCTGTCATAATCTACCAGACTCTGTGGTGTCCGGGAAGGTGGGCCTTTAGCTGGCACTGGGTGAGTTTCCATAGGCACCACAACCTGGGTCTGGGATTCAGAGGAGGCATCAGAAGCCCAGGGGAGCCAGGAGCAAGCATTTTTGTGGCCAACAGAAGATGGAGCATGAGGTACTGTGTGGCTGGTGTTTCTGTCACGGGCAGGTGAGGGGACAGAATCATGAACATTTACTTTACATTGTGATTCCACTGCAGCAAAGAACTTGCAGATGGACAGAAAGTGGCCCCAGTCTTTCTGCAGGAGTTTTAAATATTTAACAAAATATTCAAGGAAACAGGTTTCTGAGGATATCAAGAAGTCAAGAAGAACTGTAGAATCGAATGCTATATTCTTTAAGAAGAATAAGAAAACACAGTGAGGGTTGCAGCCATGTTCATGTGTGTAGCGGATCCATGCTTCCTTTTCTTGGGTCAGACTTGCAGAAGCATCCCATTCTCTGAAAAAGCAGACAAGGGAGGGCTGAGGCTGACAGGTCTTAACAAACATGTTCCCACACTTCATCTCATATCACTTTAAAAAGAAACAAATCAAAACTGAATCTTCTCACAACCAAATCCACCAAATCAAAATTGAATCTGCTCACCACTGACCAGTTTTAGTTTCTGTCAGCACAAAAGCCTTCTGTCCTTTCTCTACATCAGAAGCCCCCCTCTCCAGGGTGACTTAGTCCATGTTCAAAATGGAACATCAAACTATCGCATCAGGGGTAGACATGTGACCCCAGGCTGACCAATTAGAACATGGCCTCATGATCCACAGTTAATCAGATCTTCCCAGAGACATGTCTACAGCTAAGAAAGATCACAACTCTAAAACTGATAGAAAGGAAGCCTGAAGCTGCTGGGGTCTAGGCCTGAGGATGAGCCAGGCTGTGAGATCATAAACAGGGAAAATGGCTGGCGTGATTTGAGAAAATACACACACATACACACACACACACACACACAGAGGGAGAGAGAGAGAGAGAGAGAGAGAGAGACAGAGACAGAGACAGAGACAGTCATTGCCAGCTGGTCCTAAGGAAATAATCATTGGCTGCATTGCCAATCATTAGTGAGAAAGCCCTTCTCCCAGGCCAAGAGAGAGAGAAATGGAGCAGGTACTTAAGGGTTTTAATGAAGCAGAGCAAAAACAATGGAAAGGGTCAGTGTTGTGAGCTTCAGAAGCAATTCCCACACTGCTGCAAGGATAGAGCAGAAACACAATCAGGTGGCAGTGTCCCAGCAAGTGCCTCCAGGGGGAGCAGCCCGGTGGCCGTGTAGGACGTGCAAGTTTGGAAAGGCTCCTTTGAGTCTTTATATTTACATTCACTTTGACAAGGCAAAACACACCGGAGAGAAGCTTAACTCAGACAAGAAAGTCTTGGAGGTTTAAAAACATTGTTAACCACCAGCGGAGGTTCAGACAAGGTATTGGCTTCCCCTGATCACACAGGCAATACCTGAGTATAATGCAAATAGCATCCATTTTCAAGCAAGGCAGAATTGAAACAGGAGAAAACCACAAGATAGTCCACCCAAATAGGAAAAGAAATAATGCACCAGACAGAAACCCATTTTCTGATGTGTGTGTCTCCTGACTCTCTGGCTCATAGGCAGTCCAAGTTACTAGAAACACACAAACCTGGTCAGCTGGAGGTAGATGCTCAGGGATGCTTTGGCAGCCTCCAGCATGTCATCGTCCTGCTCTATGAAGACCCTGGACAGCCACTCACATGGGTTGTGTAGCTGGAGAGAGGGCTGGAGGTGAGGCTTTAAGAAGGCCAGTAACTCAGACATGAACTTCTGTAAGTCAACTACAAACAACACAAATGACAAAGTTCAGGGAATGCTTATAGACACACAAATATCATCTTGTCTGTATGCAAATTTGTGCATGCATTACTGTAATCCACACTCTCAGAAAGCCCTAGATGTGGGATTATCTGTTTCACAAATGAAGACCTGAGGACAGCAAAGGTGAATGACTTATGGAAGGGGACAAGTTTAGACTGTTTGGTCAAGGCATCTACCTGCCAAAATCTAGTCACAGTTTGTCTAAGAGATAACTATGTGATCTCATGATGACAGCATGCTATGAAACTGAGTGGAAAACCGCCTTGGTGACCACAGCTTTCTGTGAACTATAGACTACTAAGTCATAAAAAGAAATAGCTTCAAAATAACAGAAAAATCTTCCTTCCTTTTGCTTGTTAAAGAACCAAAAGAAAGTACGAGTATAGCCTGGCGGTAGTGGCGCACGCCTTTAATCCCAGCACTTGGGAGGCAGAGGCAGGCGGATTTCTGAGGCTAGCCTGGTCTATAGAGTGAGTTCCAGGACAGCCCGGGCTATACAGAGAAACCCTGTCTCGAAAGACCAAAAAAAAAAAAAAAAAAAGAAAAGAAAAGAAAAAGAAAAAGAAAGTACAAGTATGGCAAAAATCTAGACTTCTGGGAGTTAAACTGCAACTCAAACCTCTGAATTATGTAACAGATGCCACCTAGTGTTATAAACTATAATAGCGCTAATTAAAACATCCTTATGATACCCACATTATCCTGAGAGGTCACCACAGCTGAAGAATCACCATAGCTGAGGAATCACGCTTTCCTAGTAACTGCAGGCTGCCTGCCTGCACACCTCGGCTGTTCATTTCCCCGGCACAATGGAAGACATGTCCTCTATAACACCACAGTGAAAATCGCTCTTTCAGGCACTCTCACCCTGGACTGTCACCTTTAAGTTGTATGCGACAATTCCTTTATCAGCAGAATTTCCCAATAGTGTTGACATAACTTCTGATTATCCACAATGAACATGCATAGTCAGACTGCTTTCATGAATAATATAATATGAACTGACTTCCATTTTCTCAGCAGTGATTCAAAAAGCAGCTATTTTTGAGTTCATTATCCAATGCATATTAATTGTATAAAAAAAGCTGACATGCTTCTTGAAATTCCAGTCCCCCACAATCCCTGTAACGTTTAAAAGAGTATTTACTAAGTTTAATGGGAAAGACACAGCTAAATTATTGAAATGATACTAGCCTTAGTACTCAATAATCATGAGTCACTCTTCTTAAGTGAAAAATTAATTGTATAGAATTTTGAATAAAATATGAGTCTAGAGAATTACCTTTCATTTCAGTTGCTGAGGAACAATTCCGGAACTTGATTTCTAAGGATTTCACTGTAATCAAGCTTGCTGCTCTCAGGGTCACGTGATCAGGACCAGCCCTGAGTCTGCCTCCAGGTTGAACTTCATCCCCTCCAAAGCAGGAAGGCTTTCCAGGAACAGTCAGTGCCTTCCACAACCCCAAATGTACAGCGTGCAGGAGTGCATCAGCTAAAGCGAGCATGTCACCATCCAGAAGATGGTCTGGTGACATCAGGGTGGGCACAGATTCACTGCAAAGGTCTTCGCCCACTTTACAGAGAAGGCATTTTTTGATGAGTATAACAAATTTCCTTTTTATAAAAGCTGGAATAGGCCAGGCAAGAATATCTAGAGCACGGGGTTTCAACAATAACATCCTCTGGCTCCTAAAGTGCAGCTTCAGGTGGATTCTGGAGGCCACAAGAAGCTCGAGCAGCTCCAGAAAGCACACCAGGCTGTTGATTATGTGAGAGGGACTCTGCACATTTCCAAAATGCTGAGAAAACAAGGAATTGTAGAACACTTCAAAAGTAATGTCAAAAGGAGTCAAGAGCTGCTTTAGACTTTCTGTAATTATAAAACAGGAGTTATAAGCAACAGGCAAAATAAAAGCTTTCTTAAAACACACTTTTACAATTTAATTTGTATATATATATATATATATATATATATATATATATATATATATATCTCACTTTATAAAATAAAAAATAGGTTTAAGAACAGTTACTTCTAATAAGGCCAAGTAAGGATGCACAGATTAACAGCTAATTACTAAAAGTTAATGTATGCTTTATGAATATGGGCAGACTATACAAGAGGTAGCTAATGATTATTTTAATTTCTTTTTTAAAATTTAGTGCTCGAGAGATAGTTCATTGGTAAAGTGCTTGCTGCATAAGCATGAAGTACTGAATTAGGATCTTTAGCAGCCACAGAAGAGCCAGATGTGGTGGCTCACAGCTTTAACACCCGTGCTGGGAGGTAGAGATGGAGCTCACTGGCAGCCATCCTATCTAAGCTCACGAGCTCTGGGTTCAATGAGAGATCTTAGCTCAATAAATATGCTGGAAAGTGAATGAGGAAGACACCCAAGGTTGACTTCTGGTTTCTACAAGCATACACGTGCACACACATATCCATGTGCATATGTTTACACACCAAACACATATACCACACACCACTCCAGGGTTATGTTCAATAAAAAAATCAGGGGCAAGATCATGGATTTTTCCATACTTCAAGAGAGATGAGGTATAACATGAATTTTATTCTTCATTATAAATGCAAAGCTCCTGAGAAGGTGATGATCATTTGTGGACAGGTCATCTCTACCTGATCTCTGTGAATGTGTATCTTTAAAGATCTCTTTTATTACAGCTGTAAGGACCCAGAGGCAATGCACTGCTTCACCACTCTCACAGGACTCAGAGAGATGCCTCTGGCAAAAAGTGATCCAGGAATTACTTAACGTTTTCTACAAATGAGAAAAATAAAGGTAGTTATAATTATTGTGTTCATAATAAAAAAACTATCACACAACACAACATACAAAATATTGTTTACTTGTTTGATTGAAAAAAGTATGCTAATATTTGTCAAAACAAAGAAGGAAAATATTTTAATATTCTTTAAGGCAGGAAAGGCAATACAGAGATGGATCAAAAAGACGGACATATGAAAATATCTACATGTCATTTACTAATGATTCAATAATATGACTTTCTTTTCTTTATACTTGATTGTACTGTCCAAATATTCTACCATAAACATCTTGCATATTCGAAGTGTTCCTTTAAGAAAGAAGCAACTGGAGCAGAAAGACAAGAGAAGCTTGGATCTGCATGTGTTTGCAAGCATGGGTACACGTGTGTGTGCAAGTGCATGAGGTGGCTTCAGGTGGCCTGTGTAAGAATTTTCTTCTTTATTTTTGGGGGATAGGATCTTATTTCATTCCTACGTTTTTGGGGTTGCATGTTATTATGGGTACAAGTATCTTATTAAGTCAAATATGTGAACTTTAAAGCACTAAGAGAAATAACTAACATGCTGGCTTATCTGACCTTCTCTTTCAACTGGAAATACAGGAGCGAGGCGAGGCACTTGGCAGCCATGTGGGACAACAACTTATCGGAATTCTGGAGCATGTAGATCTATAGCAAAATAAACACAGTTTGCACTGCTGAAGCCTTCACAACTTTACTTAGTATCTAAATCTTTTTCAAACGTGGCTCACCAATTTGGAATCGAGTTCAGTGGACTGCAAAAGGACTTCAGTTAGCTCTCTGTACCCCTCCTTTGCGTGGGTCTCAGTTTTAGCAGACAGCACTCGGCTCAGTATCACGTCAATCACTGTTAACTGAAGAAGCTTCACCTCCCAGGCCCTGTTCATCTGAAGCTGTCTCTTGGAACACTCCTGTGCTTCAGGAAGGACGGTCACCTCGTGGGAGGATGGCCCATGCTGGCCTGGCATGCCATTGAGCATACCATTGACATTAGACTGAGCTACAGAGGAGGTGGTACAGACAGCTTGTTCTGAGAGATCTGGGTTGAGATAAAAGATGTAACCATAGACGTCATCTTCAAGGGTGGCTCCAAGAAGTACTTTCCTGTATAACTGATCCAAAATTTCTTGGACACCTTCCATTTTGACTTCCAAAATGTATCTTTCGTAAGAGGGTCAATAGCCACAAGGCTTATCGAAGGCTTAGAAATACAATGAATCTCTAAGATGTTTCTTCAGTGGAGCCTGAAACAGAAAAAGCAATGTATAATTATGAGTGTTAAAGCTGTATTACAAGTGAAACAAAACTGTGTTCACTTAGGAAGTCTTAAGTTAGAGATAACAGTAGTCGTTGGACTCTTCAAATGAAAATTATAATAACAATTTAAAATCACAATGATGTTCTATATGCAATTCAATATGTTCTATATGCAAATAGAACATAAAACGTTTTATAGTGTTGTTTCACTTTTGTTTGGTGTGTGTGCTCCTAAGTGCACAAGTGTGCTTATGTATGCTAGGCAAGCACTCTACTTCGGAGCTTCATCCCCAGACCTGTCTTTTAGTTTTTTGGTTTGAGATGAGAACTCTGTAAGCTGCCTATAATAGTAGGCTGGCCTTGATCTTACTCTGTAGCTCAGGAAGCCCTTCAACTTGTGATCCTCCTACATCAGACAACCAGGTATCTAGGATCATGGGCTGGCATCACCAGCCCAGGTAAAAAACACCAGCTTTCCTGGTGTACCACTTCTTGGTGGCTGCCTGAATTCTCAGTCTTGGTACTGTTGAAGGTGGAGCCAGACTCCTTTATATGGGGAGCTGCAAGCACACTCCCGGCTGGTAAGCAAGCCCTCCCCTCACCCATCTCCTCTCAAACCTCTGCTGTCTCCTAGAGAAACACCCCCAGCATTACCCACCAGATTATGGCGACTAGAAATGTCTGCAGACATTGTTAGATGTCCCAGTTTAAATCCACTGAGGTAAATCAAAAATTTCACCTTCACTTCCAATTTATAGACTAAAACTTGAAGTTACATTGCTATACAGCTATTGACTATAAAGTTCCAACTTAAAATTATACAATATAATAATATATAAAAATAAGATTAAGATCCTTGGTTACCACCTCTGTAACTAGGTAAATTTTAGGTGCTATCCCAAGAGAGTCAAGAAGAGAAGGGAAAGCGGCCCTAAATGAGCAGGCTGTACTTGAAACTGGATACAAATTCAGACATTCAGGCTGTTTCAGAACTCTCCGCCATGATGAAGACCAGGGATGAGAAACACATGACACATTTAGAGTCACACATGGCTTTTAAAACAGAGAATATGAGCAATCAGTTGATGCCAGAGGAAGCATGCTGTCACCGGAATCATCAAAGAGAGGACTGGAAATTCTTCCAAAGGAATACTGGGGCCTCTGGGAATCTACTGGATTACCTTAAACCACACACAGACATACACACACACACACACACACACACACACACACACACACAGAGAGAGAGAGAGAGAGAAAGAGAGAGAGAGAGAGACATAGACACACACATACACACACACACACACACACACAGACACACACAGACACACACACACACCTTATGTATAGACAAGCAAAGGATTCTTTCCCCAGTGGGAAAAAGAGTTGTTTTGTTTTTGTTTTTGTTGAGATTCCTTAAGTGCTAAATGGGAAGAAGCAAGCCATAATAGTCTGAGGTAGGTGTGGTGGTGCACACTTGCAACCCCAGAACTCCTGAGGAAATGGCAGGTTTGTCTCTGTGAGTTTGAGACCAGCCTGGCCTACATAGTGAGACTCTGCCACCGCACAATCAATCAAACAAACTAAAAACAAAAGAAAACAATCAAACTAACAAAAGATCAAGAAAGGTATGCTTATGTCCACAAACATGCATGCAAGCAAAATACCCATACACATAGATTTTATAAAGAGGATAACAAAGTCAGGACCTGAGAATGAGCACATTGTAAAAGGGAGGCCCAGTGTGATGCTAGCCGCGTGACCTCTCCTCTGAGGAGGGGGTAAGCATGTGCAGGGTAGCTCTTAGATATGACTGACGGTGGGGAAAATGAGGCCATGAGGATTTGTTTTTTTAAGGAGTGTGTTTTAAGAAGATAAAATTGGGGGCTACAGAGATGGCTCAGCAGAGATTTGAGAGATGGCCCAGTGATCAAGAGCACTTCAGAGGATCTGGGTTTGATTCCCAGCACCCACATGGAAACTGTCTTAGTTACATTTCTATTGCTATAAAAAGACACCATGACCAAGGCAACTTATGAAAGGACACATTTACTTTGTGGACACTTCACCAGACATGGTTTTGCGGTAGAGAACTAAAATGGAGCAGTTAAGTGTAACAAACCTATAGATTTTAACTTTATGAACAAAACTTTTGGTCAAGTCTTCTCTGAATGCTATTTTAAGATTATTTTTATCTTTATTTATGTGTATGTGAGTGGTTATGTGTGGGTTTTACACTATATAACTGCAGTAACAGCAGATGCCAGAAGAGGGCATCAGATTCCCTGGAGCTGAAGTCACAGCCAGTTGTGAGTGATTAGAAGTAGGTACTGGGAACTGAACTCAAGTCCACTGCAAGAGTAGCAAGCATTCTTAACTACCAAGTAATCTTTCCAACCTCTGAACACCATCTTCAAGCTGTGGTGTGTATTCCACAGAATTTAATAATCTACATTGTGGTAGCTTTGTTCCATCTCACACTGCTGAACTTTTCTGTACCCATAGAAGCAGCAGTGGATACGCAGCTCTGTAGCTCTCTGTAATGCTAACACACAGCTAACCAGAAAGGGCTGTCCTGTGTCTTTGTGTCAGATGGGACTGACCTCCAGCACTCATACCTTTTCCCCTCTTTTTGCTAAGTTGCACAGGCTGACCTTGAAGTTTATCTTCATTCCTCAACCAGAAAACTCTCTGGGACTACAGGGTCCCATCATCCCTTCTTTCCTTGGACATCCTCTTTGAGGGTTTCCTATTAGAGAACATTCTCCAAACTGCAATGGCCTGAATAAAATCAGCTTTTGGCATATCTTTCCAGTTGAATGTCAGAAATTGGCCTTCATATTATATTTCAAAGCCTAAATCCTTTTTCATAACTCTTTTTTCTTAGTAGTACTGATACTTAGAATATTTTAGGTTTTAACTATTATCATATGTTTATCTCTTATCGTTAAAAAACTTAAGCAACAAATGTATTTTCATTTCAATGTTATTTATAGCGATAGAAATACTTCAAACACTTTTCCTTTACCTCATACTTTACTAAGTAAAAATGAAACCTCTACTGGGCCCTTGGTCATTCTTCACAACCATCCTCTCAGTGACCAGGATAAAGTCAATGTCAGTGAATACCAGAATGGAGGTGGGTGGGAGGCGGCCTATTTTCTTCTCATGGTAGGACCCAGCCTCTTTGGTAGGAATGGTTCTAAGAAATCAGACTGGAGTTTGTACAGTTTAAATGAAGTATTAACACATCTGTTAGAATGATGGATACACTTATTCAAAGCACTGCTGTCATCTGTCACAGGGCCCCACTGCCAAGCCTCATGGTAGACTTCAGTCCCTGGGTCCTCCAGGTAGAAAGAGAGAACTGACTCCCACAAGCTGTTCTCTGATATCCACGTGTACTATGAATGTACACGAACACATACAAATACATCAGACAACAACCATACATATTTGGTTGGGAAATGGAGCTCAGGAGTAGAGCATTTACTACGTAGGAGTGGAACTGTTTAGGGTCTATCCCCCAGCATATTCAGATGGGCTTTGTACAGACAGAAAGTAACAAAACAAAAGGAAGACATAACAAATACTCTGGGCCCAACAGGAAAGAACTGACTAAGGGACAGTGAGTGCTGGGGCCTAGAATAAAACTTCAATTTCACTTCAAACATAATTCATTGTGACCAAAACAAACAAATGAACAAAAAATACAGCAATGAAATGAAAAACTACTAACGAAAATGTTCCTGCCTTGCCCCAGAAAAAAAAATGCGGTGTTAAAGGAAAAGAAAATCTGAAAAAGCAGACTAGGGAATTAACTGGCCAAGACGTGTCACTCAAGTGGTTGCTTATGGGTTTGTTTACTGCAAACTGAAATGCCATGCTGGCCTGGAGAGAAATGTCCATTCCGAACCCATGCTTGTCAAAATGTGGTCAAAGCTAGCTGTCTAGCATGGGAGCCTCTGTATGGGAGGCCACCCACTCTGGAAAAAGAATATTGGACGTGTCTAATCAGGACATGGACGTAAAACCTAAAACTAATCCTTACATGATGTTCACTGACACTGTTACATTTTTTCTGGTGTAAAAAAAAAAATTATCCTTTTAGAAAAAAAAATGTAATGGAAAGCCTTGACCTCTTATAACAGAATACATAGGACACAGAAATATCATCCAACAACCTCTTCTAGAAACATGGTTCATAAAGCAAAATTTGAAGTGCTAGACTAAAACAAAATTAAAATATTTGCTTTCTAAAAAATCCTATGAAGAAGCTGAGAATACTGCTCAGTGATGGAGTCCATGAGCAGTTTGCATAAGGTTCTAGGTTCATTCCCTGGTAGAGGGGGAAAGAAAGAAAATAAGCAAAGTACTTGTCTTAGTTAGGGTTTCCATTGCTGTGAAGAGACATTATGACCAAGGCGACTCTTATAAGGGACATCTAATTGGGTCTGACTCACAGGTTCAGAGGTTCAGTCCATTGTCATCATGGCAGGAAGCATGGCAGTGTCCAGGAAGACATGGTGCTGGAGGCGCCTTATGTTCTACATCTTCATCCGAAGGCAGCCAGGAGAAGACTGGCTTCCAGGCAGCTAGGAGGAGAGTCTCAAAGCCTCACAGTGACACCCTCACAGTGACACACTTCCTCCAAACAAAGCCACACCTCCTAATAGTGCCACTCTCTGGGCCAAGCTTATTCAAACCACCACAGGTACAAAGAGCACCATAAAAACAGAAAAATCAGGACTGATTATAATTCTGCAACACTCTACTTGGGATGTCCATTCTTTAAATGCAACCAGATGACTCTGATGAGCTGAGAACTGACTTTTTGAAGTCAGTTCATAACTAACAAGGCCTCAAAGAAACTGACATTAAGTGTTACCAGTTACCCAGAAACAGAAGGTGGTCCCTAGCAGCCTTACCTCCCCCAGCAAATGGGAATCTGCAGAGGCCAGAGGAACAAGTCAGTTTAGATACAGAA